AAAATTTGGATAATTAACAATAAAGTTAATTAATAATTTAAAACCGGGAGGCAGTTAATCTGTCACATATAGGGCCAAGTAGGTCTGGAGAGCTTTATTCTCTTAATAAATTCAATAATCTTTTTAAAACTGCATTTTGTGTTTGCTAGGGTTATCTTTGTCTAATATTAAAATTTGTCTGATGATCTGAAACATGCAAGTCAGACAAATATGCAAAAACTAAGAAAGAAATACTAAAATCCACTAAAACAAAACATTGTGCTCATAAAACTGGAAAGGAAATGTATTTCTTTTTTAGCTTGTTGCATTTGACAACAACCTGCCCATTGAGGTGTGGGTGCATCTCTTTACCTAGACCCAGGATTTCAAGATGAGTGTGATTCAACTGTGTTTGTTTGGAATACCTTTTGTAAGGTTCTTAAATCTTGACCCTGACAAATACCCTCATTAAGACAAATAAAAAGACTAAAACTAAAACTGAAACTAATGAAAAGACAGCAAAAACAAAGTGTTTTAAAACACTTAAAAAGACAATTGAAACAATAAATTCCACTGTGGGAACAATAACTAAAATCAATTAAAATCAGAAACTGAAAATAAAATAAAATAATAATAATAATAATGCTCAGATTCTTATCTAATATATGGCAGCCATAAATTATTGTTGAACATCTCAGTCTAATGTGCTGACACTATATGGTTGTGGATTTGTTCCAGTTCAGTCACTAGAGCGTGAGATTAACACTCCTGGCACAGTTAGTAAGACACTGGTGGGCTTTAAGGCCTGACACAGAAATGGCACTAGCTCATCCCAAAGGTGTTGGAAGGGGCTGAGGTCAGAGTGTTCAAGGGCCTTATCCACCCTGAAGGTTTCTCTTAACTGGAACTAAGGAGGGTGTGAACAGTAATATGTCCGTGGTGTCTGAACACCGTATGTAATCTATTTTCAGATGGATTATGTTTTCTCTGTGTGAGAAGAGAAACAGATTGAGAGAGATCTGTAAACTGACACGGCCTCTTCAATCCGTCCTTCCCCCCACAGTTCACTGAATCGCTGTCTTTACTCTCGCTCCTGTGGCGCCAGTGAAGTAAAGGCCATCCTCACTGTCACTCACGGATTTAATCATTCGGATCTACCCAGGCTCTCGCCTCATTTTCTGCCTCCGGTAATAGCGTTTCAGCTTCGTACGGGCGGTGAGTGCGCGCTGTCCAAGGTGCTGCAGCGGCGCGCGGCCCCGCCCATCCTCTCCTCTCACTCTCTCTCTCTCTTACACACACACACACACACACATACACACAAATACACATTCACACTCCATCGTTCTCCTGCGACCACGTGACGTTCCCTCTGTCGAGTCTCGCGGAGAGCATCAGACTGCACCTTTTCCTCCTCAGGAGAACGGAGAGAAGGAGAGGGGGAGAACGGCATTGAGTCACAGAGAGAGAGAGAGAGAGAGAGAGAGAGAGCGAGCGAGAGAGAGAGAGATTGAGCGCGAGAGAGGAAAGGGAAGCTAGAGAGAGTGTGTATGAGAGAGAGAGCAATAGCACCTTGTCGCCTGGAGGCGATCCTATGATAGTTTCGTCCCTGTCCGGTAGACCGACTCAGTCTGCCACCAGGCGCGCGCCTGCTCTCTCCTCTCTCGCGAATTCGGGGGAGATTCTCCTCAAATGGAAGGGAAATCGATGAGCCGCGCGCGGCACTGTTGCCACGGAACCACAGGATGCGCGTGAGGTAGGTCGGTTTTCTAGTGTAATATGTGCCTGAGCTGAGGGAACACCGCGGTCGGTTTGCCTTTTATTTACCGGGGCGAGGCTGCCACGACACTATTACAGGTGTAATTCCAATTAAAACAGCAGGTTAACCGTATAAAGAAAAAAAATAAGTAATTAACATGTAACCGGTGAGCTAAGCTGTAGTTAACGTCAGGCGCTAAGGGCTCAGGTGATGAGACCGAACCCCCGGTGTAGTCGAGAGGGAGAAAAAAATGGAGAGAAAATATAGCCGCAAATCGAGAATCGATATTTCAACCGCATTCATTCACCCCGTCTATCAATAACTGTGATGTCGCCGCTTTTCGCCTCTCAAAGACTCCGAGAAGACGCTACGTGTAGTCCACTGTGCGTGTGCATTTGCTGCCACTGTGGGGTTGTGCCGTGTGTGCGCGTGTGAATGTGTTCAACTGTTTGAAATGGGCTCTGAAGCCGTTAATTCGATAAAAGCGAGGCGGTTTGAGTCATCCGCCGCAGCGCGCGGTGCTGCTCCCGCTCTTTGTGATGAACCCAACACAGTGTTTGACGGTGCCGCGAGGTAGCCTCGTTAAACCCATTTACAAAATAAACTGAAACACGAAAGCTGTTGATTAAAATCTGTAAGAATACCGCCAGTGTCAGAGTGGGTCCAGCTGTTCTTTTTGGACATTAAGGCCGCCGCAGGTATGCCACCTTATAAAAATCTCCTGCGGCATGATGGGAGCTCTGCTGAAAGAGGTGCTGTTTGTGTATGTATGTATGTATGCGCGTGCCTATATACTGTATGTGCTTGGCTTAAACCACTGCGTGTGGGCTGCGTGGAAGTAAAAATTCTACGTGTTAATCTGTATGTTTATAAAGAGTTATGTGGGCCTGCTCCTTGTGTAGTGTGACAATATGATGTCTTTGTGTGTATGCGCGCAGAAATGCACGAGAAAGAGTAATCTGAGAACAACAGCGGGATCAGGTTGTGTATGTGTGCGCGAGAGTTTGTGTATTGTATATATGTATGCGTGAGTGTGTGTGTGACCCTGGTTGATTGTGCCGTCTCTGTTCTCTCTGTAGGTCGCTGGAGAGAGTGATGACGCGGCAGTGAGAGACACACATACCTCACTTGCACACACACATACATTCGAACACACACAAACACACACATATTTTTTTTGCCCACACACACTTTAAGTCTTGCCCTACTAAGAAAGGGAGGAGGGGGAGAAAATACTGCTATGACGGTGTCATTTCTCTCCATTACCAGTGTGTGAGACACACACACACACACACACACTTGCACTTGTACTCCGTGGGGAATTGCCTGCATGGGGGATAAGGCCCTATCTAGGGCACAAAGATGGAGTTCACATACAATTTGTCACATATCTAACACTCACACAGACGTTCACACAAACACACACACCTGGAATCTCATATGTCAGAAGATAAGAATAAAGACTGAATGGAGAGGAGACACTGAACATCTCAGAGACGACACAAACAAGAGGCCAAGGGAAAAAAAGATGTCCAAAGCATACTGAAAGGATGGCGGGAGCCGCTGTTTGACCCCCTCCCTTTCCTGGAGCTGAATCCTATAGGAGCCAACCTTTGAAAGGAGCACTTGCAAGATAGAAGGGTCACCTGAGAAACCCATAAAGAGTTCTTCAAAAGCCCCTACAGTTGTCACCATGAGCTGTAGGCTAGAGGGAACACCCCAGCTCTAGCCACTATCTCCTCCCGTGTGTGTGTGTGAGTGTGAGCGTGAGTGTGTGTATGAGTGTAATGGCGGTTTGTGTTTGGGCGGCAGCCCCACTGCTCTTCCTGGGGCTCTGCCTGTGCAGCGTGGGGGGCCAGGCCCAAGGTGAGGTCCTGGAGTTTGGAGGCGTTTCCAGCCAGTGGGGGCGGTTCCCAGTATGGAACGCTTGCTGCGAGAGTGTGCTGAGCTTCAGCCTGCGGACTCACAGCCAGGAGGGCCTGCTGCTCTACCTGGATGACGAGGGATTCTGCGACTTTCTGGAGCTGCTGCTTCTCCACGGTCACCTTCGGCTGCGTTTCTCCATCTTCTGTGCTGAGCCGGCTGAGCTGCAGTCAGGTGTGGCGGTGAGTGATGGGCGGTGGCACGCAGTGCGTGTCAAGCGGGATTGGAGGAACACCTCGTTGGAGGTAGATGGGCGATTGGAAGGATGGGCAGAAGTGAAGAGTAAGAGAAGAGACATGACAGTATTCAGTCATACCTACATGGGCGGGGTGAGCCCAGAGCTACATTCTTCGCCCCTCCGCCTCACCTCTCCTTCAGTGCGGGAACACCCTGCCTTCCGTGGCTGGATCACGGCAGTGAGCATCAACGGCTCACTGGTGACACTAGACGGCTCAGAGGGCGTCACAGTAACAGCTGGCTGTGGCCCAGACCATCAGTGCCAGAACGGAGGGGTGTGCAATGTGGTCAACGACCAGGCTGTCTGCGACTGCTCCGACACCGGCTACCAAGGCAATGACTGCAGCGAAGGTAAGGCCCAAAATCATGCTGACCCATCATATACATCCCATCCTTTACACATACACATGTACACCTCAAAAGACACATGCACATACGCTTACATATGTGGATTAACATCTCAAAATTTATACCTCTCTTTACAAACATCAAGTCCTTCAACAAAGATATCTATTTCTCATTCACACCTTCACATTTACCTTCAATTTGTGTGTATGGACCAGCAGCCTTCACAAACAGTGCAAGACATGCATACTGATTATGTTTGAGATTGATTTCTTACGCCTGCCGGTGGCTCCCAGTTTAAGTGAGCTCCTCCAGAACCCAAAATTAAGCCCACTCCCAGGAAGAGAAGTCAGTGTAGTGAAGCTGGAGAAGAGAGCTTGAAAACAATTTGAAACAAATTCTTGAAAGTCACTAAAATGGCTGGCTGCGGGTTTTGAGGAGCTCAGTAGGTGCATTTGGCAAAACACAATAACTATATAGATCAGTTGTGGACATGGCTGTTGGCTCATGTTGAGAAACTCTAATTGGAGCAGGGCTTAGATGCTGGAAATCAGTGGTTGTTATATGGCCGACACCTGCCTGCCTGTGTTAATGGATTTGCATTGATTCTAAATGGCCTTCAGAGGTACCATACATAGGGTGCTGAATGATGTGTGTACAATCTATCGCCTGCCATTAATTTGAACAGCTTGCAGCCTGTTAAGATGCTCTGTTTGCGTCTGTGTGATTGTGTGTAATGATTTTGTGTCAGTGCTTTTATGCATAATAAAAAAGGAGACAGTGTTGTGTTTATAAAGATGAAAAAGTCAGACTATAAACGCTTGTAAGTATGCCGCAGATCGTTTTATAACTGCTAGAAGACCTTCTCTTAATACTTCCAGTAGTGCCTTTGGTCACTACAAGTGCCAATACATTGGGCAGCGTACTGATGGCTGTTACAAAAATGAAACAGCTGCTTAATGAACTCAGCTACCAGGTTATGGTTATCATTGCAAATTCGTTAATTTCCCCCTTCTAAGTTGTGTGTGTCTTCAGATTTGCTTCAGTTCATTCAGAGATAATTTGCATTCTTAATCGATAGCTCTCTAAAACGAGTCTGTGCTTTTTTGTTTTCAGCACCAGCGATACCAATCAGCCCCCCCCCCCCCCCCCCCCCCCCAGCAATTGATTTCTCTTCTTTTTCCTCTTCTTTTTTTAAAATGACACAAATGCATCAGCCAAAAAACAGCCGAGTGGCCTTCCACCATGGCTAACCTTAAACCCCACCCAGCACCAATTTCAACATCACACATCCCCTTTAGCCACCCGTCATATCACACCCTAGCATTTAGTGGACAGTAGGCTGGCTTAGGTTACCATGGAAACAGGACTAATAAGAAGACACGATGAAAGATGCGTTCCTAACCCTCCTGCTTCCACGCCTCAGCTCCAGCCTCCCCCCTTCTGCACTCGTTTGTACCTGCAGCTCCAAATGACTTCAGGCATCATATCTGCCACGCAGTCTTTCCACTCTGTTTACACGCATGTGGCAGTGAGTGGAGATTACTGCGTGTTTAATCTAGGAGGCATGTTCACAAATCGGGCCACCTGTCCTACAACAGACAAGGGAGATGCACACAAACGAGGCAATTAACAAACAGTTAATTAAAAAAAATAGGAAGCATAAGAAGTGAACCTAAACTAACAATGACAGGTTTAGTTGTAAAGTCAACACACTGGCTTCAGGTGTTGCCAGGGTTGCCTGTGTTGTCCACCTCTAGTACCTGGAAAGAAAATAGCCACACACATTCCATAGCAGGTGCAGATGGGCATTTTAAGCAAAAATATTATTCAGTACTTATCAGTTTCAATGGTGTCTTTACAGATTTTGCATTGGAACTTGTTTTCAGTTGTTTTTCTTCAGAACTTTAACAGCTGTTGCATTTTGTGGACTCACAGAAACATTTGATTTCCCCATGTCTCACATGGTGTAGTGGTCTGGCGATGGTCATTAACATCTGTCCATCTATTTTCTTAATTGCTTATTCAAATGAGAGTCATGTTGGAGGGCTGGAGACTATCCCAGCTATCATAGGTCACACTGGACAGGCACCAGTTCATCACTAGGCTAACAACAGAGAGACAGACAACCATTCACACTTACAGTCACACCAATGTCCAAATTAGAATCAGTTAATACCTTAACATGCATATTTTTGCACAGTATCGGCACAGGCAGAATATGCAGACTCCACACAGAAAGGCTGTGTTACCTCCTACCAGCCACTGGTAAAAACAAGATGATATATAAATGTTTTAAGACAAGAATCAGTGACATAGTCTATTTATTGATTTAGAATTTAATGACTTTGAAATGACCTTATTAACCACTACAAAAGGCAACATATGGGCTTCTTTTCAATATACTTTTTTGCTTCCTCCTCTCGCATCTCTTTCTCGCATCTTAGCTCCTCCCAGTGAGGATATAAGGTGAAGATGCAAGGACGAGATGCAAGGACAGCGGTGCCGAAGCTTCCATTATACAAATCCATGGATCCATAGTGCCAGCCTTAAGAGCTGCTGGTTACTTATAACAGGCTTCACAGTTGGACGCCCTGTCTAACTGATTCATAAAGATTTCCTAGAATCTTCTATAAGGAACAATTTAAAATTTTACCTTTTAAAGACAGATGGATATGAAAATCTCTTGTTTCTAAATTCATGAAATATGAAAATTGTTAAATACATTGAATTAGCTGCAGCTATAATAGTAATTAAATGAACATTTTAAATCCTCTAATTCATGTATAGAACAGTGCTGTTTGTTCTGAATTGTTACATTATTATTTGCACTAAAATGCGCCACGCGGCTTCATAAAAATGTTTTCGATTGTAAATGAAAAAACAAATTGGGGCTTTGCTTGACGCCACAGCACAACAGTGCATTGCGCCTCAGTACGTGCTTTCTGTCAATCCTGTAAATGACACTACAAAGCTAGCACTGTAAAAATAAACTGCTACATGTGGAGTTTTCCGGGTCATCGGAGGAGAGGGGATGCGAGGAAGCAAAAGTTAGTGCAATTAAAAATCAGACGCAGCGCGGAGAGGGTCGTCAAAGGCAATAATGAAAGTCTTGACCACCACTCCTAACATGCCATGGAGATAAAAACGGTATTAAAGTAGGTACGTTTATGTTCATTTGTGAGGAAATAATTAGTCTATATGAGAGAGCAATAAGAAGAAAATTAATTAGCAGCTGTTTTGATGATTAAAAATGAATTAATTAGGAAGAAAATACAAAGAATGTCCCCGAATGTAAGCATTTGATATTTTTCTTTGTCATATATGAAAGTAAACTGAATATTTATTGGGTTTTGTACCGACTAATAAAACAAGCAGAGTATCTTACCTTGACTATTATTTAACTATTTTCCAATATTTTATGAGCAAAAAGCAATTAATTGGGTGAGTCATCTGCTGATTAAGTAATCATGAAAATGCGTTTAAGCCACTTCTAAAGTAGAAATGCCAAATATTCCCTTGATCTAGTTTCTAAAAAGTGAGAGATGCTGTCTTTTTTGTCATTTGTATCATTTTACATTTAATATATTTATGTTTTGGGCTGCTGGTCAGAAAAACTAAGAGTTTAAAAGCATCATCTTGTGCCCCGGTACTTAACGCCAGACAATTTTTAGTATTATTTAGTAGTTTTGGCATTTTGCAGACTAAATCATTAGTGCTAAAATAAATAGCAGTTGTTGGGCTTTTGTGCTGCACGTGTGTTCAGGAAGTGAAAGGTGAAGCTATGATCAGCTCTGTGCAGAAACTCAGTGCTGCACTGAGAATTAGGTATGATCCAAGCCAGTCTAATCCAGTCTGCTGTTCTGCTGCTGCTGCTTAGGGCACAGTGGGAGACAGACAGCAGTGGCACACGCATACCTGCACAAACACGTGCAACACAAAACATACAATCACACAGAGAAACACATTCACACAGTGCACTGGCTCCAGCACCAGCATTAGTCACAATACCACTGAGGTTCTTAACAGCGGTGTAGCTTTACAGGCTAAATAAGAGGTGAAGACATTTTATGGAAAAGCTCACACCAGATACAATATCTACTTTTCTCTGGCACTCGTCGCTCAACAAGAGGCCACTTATTCCTTTTAAGGGGGTGTTTTATATTCCTAGTGTTGGACTCACATTTCATTTGTGAGTGAAGCCAATTGTTTTGGAAAACATGCGCCAGAGTCATGTTTTTTCTCTTGGCACCAGTGGCTGCTGTTAGTAATTGTAGTCACATAAATTGTAGTCTCGAGTTTGGAGGTCTGCTTAGACGGATGTGCTTCAATGTCTTAAGTAAGAAGCTTTGTAGCATTACATGGTTAAAATAATGTGGAAACTCTCTTTTCAAACTAAATTGCAGCTTCAGAGAAAACATATTATGGTGTTTTACTTTAGAGCTGAAATTTGCTCTGAGACTTGGTATTGTAGCTTAGCATTAAGTTTTGGTGTAAGCAAATCAGTTCAGACTCTTCTCTTTTTATTTTTGCAGATTAAGATTTCAGAGTTTAGGCATAAATGTTGAATGAAAATGATGTGCAATTGTAACACAACATTTTTCAATGTTTTCATTATTTTAATTATTAATTTGCATAAAATTGCAAAACTTCTGGGTTAAAATGGCCCCCCCAAAAAGAGTTAAAAATTTCACTGGCTGTCTGACCGGGTTGCACCCCAAGGCATTTGTAGCTGAGCTCAGCCAGGCTTTCCCCTCATAGCCATGAGGTTTGGCAGATAAGGATATAGTGCAAAATAGCATGCCTTTTATTTGCAGTTTATGCATCAGAAATGGGTTGATACGCTACGTTTTGGGGACATAGTTTTGAGAGGCATTTGCAGACAGTGAAGTTCAGATAACAAACACTGGAAATAGCATAGCTGTTTTTGTGTGCAGCTGCATTTTTGGTTTCTATATTTGGCCAGCTTTTCACGTATAGCGTCACAATTATTAATTGCTTTTGGATTTAATATATTAAATTCTTTATGGGCAAAAAAAAAGAAAAGAAGAGGCAAATTCTATACCCTAAATTCTAAAGCAATCAGTCAAAGGAAAACTAGTTGATTTGTGCAGTTGCTAGAAGGGGGGGAATCAAATGCCTTGATTGATAGGAAGGACAATAACAAATTCTGTGAGGGAGGAAAATGCATCAGTTTGTTATGTGGAGGAAACTGCAGTTAACCAAAAGGGCAACTCAGCAATTAAAGAAAAATGAGAAGGTGGGTTCAGCTGTGTCAAGCATATCAGCAGCAGTTTTTTCATCTGTCAATTTCATCAGTGCACATTAGGCACAATAATTTTTTTTAAAAAAGCCTAAAGAAGCTTAACAGTCAGCTCTTGAAGGTTAATTGAAATCTTTTTTTAGTTACTTACTGGTAGTAGTATTAAAAAAACTCACAGACATTAGTTCTGGAAACAGATTTAATGGACTGAGCTTTTCTACTGAAAGTGCAGTTTTTCTTAGCCAGCTAACCAACACACAGACCTTGGACAGAAGAGTGCAACGCCATCTTTAAATTCTCAGAATCATTCTTGGTTCAGAGATATAAAGAAGTTGGTGAGGAAAAACTGAGCAGATGATGTGTTTTCTTTGGATAGCCCACATTTTCTGGAGGGCTATTTTGTGTGTTCTGGATCTATAATATTTATTTTTAAAAAAAGCTGGCCTCATGCGCTGTTGTTCATTTTGGTGTGACAAGATACCGGCACTGTGGGATATCTCAAACCCCAGGAACCGCAGGCTGAACCAATATATATGCATCAGCAACACTAGCAGTGAGTTACTCTTACGGATTTATAGTTTTTCAAAGGAAATTCTCATTCTAGATGCACTGACAAACTTTAGGGGAGATAATTCTCAGTTTGTGTTTAAAATTAAGTGGATGGCTAAAAAAGAAGGGGACTAGAGGCCCAGGTCTCTTTGACTGAAGCAAAAACATGTTAATAGCATCTAAGGTTGCAAATATGTTGATTGCAGGTTGTGAAAGAGTTGTCACTTTCAAAACTGGGATGATCATTATTTGCGAGTATATGAGCCGACACTGTGTAGTTGTTTTGTGTAGAGTCAGGCAAAGCCGGGCATAAAGGTTTATCTTTTATATGGTACCTTGAAATTACTGTGTTATTTTGAACCCAGCAGCCTCGGTGTAGCTGCACAATAAAGCTTTGAGATAAAATTATAACCCTCTAAAAATTAGAAAAAAATTCAGTTATGAATCTTTAATACAGAATGAACATGCTCTGCTAGAGGAAAATATGAATCCTTAGGACTACGCTAGAAATAAGCAATTTAGCTGTGGCAGTCTTAGTTTCCGTACACGTTTACAATTACACAGTATCTTCAAGGCTCCCAAATGATCCACTTTTATTCCTGCTCATATTTTTGCAGATTTGTGTCAAGCCTAGAAGTATTTGCAAAGCGTAATGTTGTTATTTACTGTAGGCATTCTCAGCCCTGAAAAAACTGCAGTATATTACATATTTAATACCAGTGCAATGAAGGAACTATTTATGAGGGTTTTGTTCCGGAGCACATCAATATGTCACTTTGGAGAAATAAAATGATTTGAGATACTCAGAATATAGATGTAGTAAGTGAAGACAGTTTGAGCAGAGCCCGTGCATAAATGTAATTACTGTCTAAGTTATTTTGCCCTCCAGTGAAGGCAGAGTGAACCTGGCTTGTTAGGCCTGGCCTGGCTTGCATTGTCCTTGAGGGCAAATCACTGTTAGCATGCTAATGGTTCCACCTGTTTCTGCCATGCCACCGGCACAAGGGCAGAGGCAAGGAAACACTCACATGAACACAAAGCTCAAGACTCACACATCCACACACAGGCGCCCAAAGTTTCATGTACACACAAGCACACAGACACACACACTCTGTCCCAGTATTGGACCATGCATGCCCCTTGTCTTCCTGCACTGCTAATCCATCCCTACATGTTTACCCTGCTATTTCACATCATTATTACTGCCATAGTCGACGTTGGTGTGAGTGTGTGTGCGTGTGTGTGTGTGTGTGAGAGAGAGAGAGAGAGAGAAAGCGAGAGAGAGAGAAGGAGGGGAGAGAGGTAAAGAGGATGTGGGAGAGATTGCGAGATTGAAAGTGTGTGTTGCATGCTATATGTCGGGGGGCTCCGGGGAGAGGAAGCGGCTACAAGGTAAGTTATGGGGTAAATGGCTCTTGAATCCAAACCTACAGGTAGGACTGTATATTTACACCAACACCCCCTCCCCACCCCTCTACCTGAATACCCCTACCTCCACCCCTGTGTACCCTACAAGTGTGGGTGGGCGTGTGTTTGTTTACGCTCTTAGATATGTGTTTTTGTACCCGCGTGGAGTCGTAGAGAGACTGTTCATCTGTATGTATAGATAAATCTCAGTTTTGGCTACCAGTGCAGCATGGTATCCATTGTGTCCGTGCGTGGACTTTTGCATGTGTGTTGCCGCGGTAACCCCGGACAGGTGTGCATGTACAGTAAGTAGCCATGGTAACCCAAGGGCTGAGCATGCATGTTAATGAATGTCTGTCTCTCTCTCTCCTCGGCCGGCCGCAACACCTTTCCAGAGCACAGCTACACTCCAGGTAGGTTGTACTATCTATCTATCTATCTATCTATCTATCTATCTATCTATCTATCTATCTATCTATCTATCTATCTATCTATCTATCTATCTATCTATCTATCTATCTA